AGTAGGACCTCAGGACTCACCAGCACTGGGGCTCTAATTTGTCCATCACTGTGGTGTGTGTGGTCACAGGGGTGCTCTGGGGCGCCCTGGCCAGCTAGCCCTCTGAGCCACTCCCAGAGTGTCAGGCTGCATCAGACAAGTTTCCATTGTCACAACAACCTGCTGGCTGCCAGGTGCCTGGGCCCGAGGCTCCTGAGGATGCTGCCAGCTGCCATGGGCTCACGCCTGGGCCCACGCACCTCGCGGCAGCCTGGGCTACCTCTCCCGAAAGGGCTTCCCAGCCTCTGGTGCGGCAGGCCCCGTCTCCTGACTCGTCTGTTTCAGTCCCTGGGCCCCTCCTGAGTGCCCAGCTCCGTGCTGGGGGCGCAAGCACATTCTCACCCCAAATCCTCACCCGCCCCGTGAGGAAAGACCGTCACAGACACTATTTTATGCTAAAAGGAGCGGAGTCTCAGGTGAAGTGACTCGTCGGAGGTCACCTGGCTCAGCGTGGCAGACCCAGGATGGGGACCCCAAAGGTAATGCACTCACGCTCACCTCCTGTCCAGGACACCCGTGGCCTCTCTACTGCCGCCTGGCCCCGTCCTGCTCCCATGGCGGAAAGCTCCGGAGAGGAACATGGGACCGCCCGCTGTCTGCTGGGCTGGACCGGGAAGACCAGGCCACAGGATACTGGTGGGACCCTGCAGGGTGGGCAGGGCAGCAGGGGCTGGGCAGCCACTAAGAGCACCAAGCATCACCTCACTCCATTCTCCCGGCAGCCCTCTGAGCCAGGAACGGTGACCCCACCTCATGGAGGAGAAAACTGGGCTCTGCAGGGTCACTGGGGAACGCCGTGGCTTGTCACACCCGGGCTCTGTAGGAAACGCCAGCAGCAGTGCAGCACCCCTCTCTACCCCTCCCCCATCCCAGCACAGAAGGTTCGATTACTATGACCCTTTTATAGATGAGGATGCTGAGGGTCTGGGAAATTCCCACACCTGTGCTCTCAACCACCTCGCCCTGCTGCCTCTGGCTATCTCCACGCTGGCCCGAGAGTCCCCGAGGGCAGCTGCATGTCTGAGCTGTCTCCGGGTCCCTAGCACCTGCGTACGATTCATGCCACCAGCGTTGGCACCTGAGTTCTGCCCCAGCGCTCCCCAGGCAAGGAAGCCCCTGTGGGACCCCCGCTGGCCGCTCCTCTCAGCAGAGGCCGCATAGCTGCCTCATCCATGCTGAACATGTCTTCCAGGGCGACGCAGAACTGCAGGGGGCTAATGGCCTTAGTTTGTGTTGGTTTCCCCCCCGAAACCCTCAAGGTGGGATTAATTCTCTGGGTCTGAGTCGGCAAGGCTGGCCCCCTTCCCAGCCCTGTGTCCCCCCAATACACCCTCTCTGAACCAGAGGGACTAGGGGCATGTGAGCAAGACAGTGGCATCTGGGAGACCGAGGCACGCGTGGCCTGGAGCTCCACCCATTCAAGCAACTGTCCTCCACCCACCCACTCCTATACCCATTCGTCCGCTCACACGCTTGTGTGTACCATCCATGCGCCAACGTATCTGCCATCTGCTGACATGGACTCATCCATCCACTCATCCTCTCGTCCTGTATCCATCCATGAACCCACCCCTCTGTCACTTGCATTTGTGTCCATGCCTTTATCCATTGACGCGTGTCCTTTGTGCACATCCACCCTTCCAGGCCTGCCTCCATTCACTCACCAATACACACTCATTCACCTATCCGTCCACTCTTCCCGTATCCATCCGTTCCCAGATCCATCATCTTACTGACACACATTCAAGCATTCACCCATCTAGCCCAGCGTCCATGCATTACCTCTATCCATTTCCCATGCCTGTGTTCATCCACCTCCAATATGTACTCCCGTATCGGTCCCCAGCCCTTTATCCATCCACTGATGTCTACCCAACCATCCATCCATTCATGTCAATCCCCCGTATGCACCAGAAATCCAGCCCCCTCACCCATGGATCCACCAGCATCTTGCTCTAGCCACACAGTCCTGTATCCACATCAGCTCTTCCATACGTCTGCCCGTCCCTCCCCAACTACCTCGCCACTTGTATGCACCAATCTCCCCTTCCATCCGTCTACCCTCCAGCTTTCTATCCATCCATCCACTGGTCTTCAACCCCGCATGCACCGCCCCGTGGCACGACTGCAGGTTTCCAGGTCTGTCTTCCCCAGGTGGGGCCCAGGCCTCACCCCACTCCGTCCCTGACTTGGTCCAGGGCCTGCTGATTGAACCATGACTACGGTTCCCCAGCCAGGCTCAGAGGGGGGCCCTGGCTGATCCCACTCCAGGAAGCCCCCAGAGTCCTCCAGACTCATGGCATGCTGGGGCTGGGGCCACTTCTGAGCCCCCTTCCTGGCTGGGGTGGGGGTGGGACAGAGAAGGTCCCCAGCACCTCCTAATACCTGCCACACCGGCAGGATCCATGTTTTTTAGCAGACTGTGGACTCTTGAAGGGCAAGGTCTGTGTCAGGTTCACCTCAGTGACCCCAGCAAGCAGCACGGCGTGGGTGCTCAGGGAGAGTATGGTAGGTGAACGAAGAGTCCAGGCACTTAGCCGGTCACTCGTTCATTCATTAATTCCTACAATGACTGGACCAGCAGAGGCACCTCTGGTCAGCTTCTCCTACCACAGGCCACTGTCTGGTGCCTGCTCTCAGGCCCTGGAAGTCACTCCCCTGACTGTGACAGCAAGTCACAGCCCCTGACGCTGAGGCCTAGAGAGGCGCCAGGCCTTGCCCAAGGTCATATGGTAAATCAATGGCAGAGGAGGAACGGAACCCAGGACTCCAGACCCCTGTCCAGGCCTCTCCACCAGGCTAGTGACCAACCCTGGGACAGGAGGGGGAGGCAGGAAAGGACCCTGGAGACAGTCTGGACCAACACAGTGAGCTTTGGGGTCGCCCTCCGATTTGTCCCAGGGATCCCTACCTCCTTTGAGGGGAGGAGCCACCTTTGCCCTCCCCCACAGCCTTGCCCTTGCGCTCCACACTCCAGGAGGACAGAGCCTCTTCCGACCCTGGGACCCACTGCACTCTCCCCTCACCTCCAGCCCGGGGCCCAGGTTCCTCCAACACGCTTCTACCTGTTCAACTCCTACTCGGTCCATCGGCCTCACCTCCTGGGATTTGGGAGACCCCTATTTGTGGGCTGTCTGCAACAAGCCATGGATTCATGGACGACCGTCCTTCCCTCCATCCATTCATCCATCCGCGCTTCAACACCATCGAGTCCCTACGGAGTGGGAGCACCGCTTCACGGCGTTGCTGTAGAGATGCTGCGGAACATGCTAACGCTGCCCCGCACATAGTAGGTGCTCCACCAGCGGCAGCGAGGCGGGCCAGACCCTGGGCCCAGGAGTCTTACCGAGTGGATGGGAGATCATCTCCCGGGTTGCTTGGGACTCATTTCCCCTCCCCAGACCTGACAAACGTCCCACTCCCCACCCCCCAGCCCGTGGAAAACTCGCTCTATGGGCCGAGGCTCCCAGGCAGCCCTGCCCCTCCCTACTCCGCGTCCCAGGTGCGAACAGCTCCAGGTTTTGACGATGAGCCAAATGCAGAGCGCAGGAATCTATAAATATGAGACAATAGTTTGGGAGGGTCCTTGCTCGGCGCCTGCGAGCTGAGCAGCCGGGAAGGAGCTGCATCTGCCACCGTGTCTGCTCTTCCGGCCGCCCTGATTATAGTGAGAGTCGGGAAAATTAAGGGTTTGCAGGATGCTGCCAGGGCCCTGCTGCCGCCTCTCCGCCCTGGGCGTCACAGATGCCAGGCATAGCCACCCCCAATGGCTACTTTCCCCAGGCGGCAGGGCCATGCCCAGCCTGGAAGGGTGGCACCCCACAGTGTGTAAGGGGCTTTCTTCCAGTCCTCGCTGGAGCCTGGCCTTTGGCGAGGGCGGGACGGGGCTCTGCTGCCCCTGGCAGGTGGAGGAACTGAGGCCAGGAGAAGGGAAAGGACCTGTCCATGGCCCCCAGAGACCCAGGGCACTGTGGCCTGGGAGGAGCCAGGCCCATGAAGACCCTGTCCCACCCATGCCCCAAGGCCTGGGCCCCTGGTCTGCCCTGCTGGGCCGACCTTGGCCACCCAGGGCCCCTTCTGCAGGCCAGCCGCCCCCCACTCACGCCCCGGTGCCCACTCTGCTCCCATTCTGCTGGCTCGGGAGTCTCCAGGATGTCGCCCACGCTGTTCCTGCCCTAGAGGAACCACACTGGGGATAGGGTGGGGCACAGACGAGGAAGGAAACACCCCGAAACCAGGCAGGAAGCGGAAACGCTAGGGCAGCAACTCCCCTGCAACTGTGCTGGGGTTCAGGGAGGGCGAGAGTGCCAGCTCGGCCGCTTGGGCGAGCCCCTCACCTCCCTGAGCCTCAGTTTCCTCGTCTGTAATTGGGGAAAATGACAGTATCCGCTCTGAGATACTGAACGAGACTCAGAGCGCCCGGGGCGAGCGCGCTCCCACGCACGGCGAGTGCTCCGCAACCCGGCCCCCGGCCCAGCCTCCTTCCGGCCTCCCCGAGCGGGGTCGGGCCCTGCCCCTGACGCAGGGCGGGACGAGGCCTGCCTGCACCCTCGTGACCTGCCCGGGACAGCGGCGGGTGCCAGACGCTCAGGCCTCGCCCTGGGTCCCCGTCCCCCCAACCCCCAGCGGCAGGGACACGCGCGCTAGGGCGACGAGCCCGCAAATCGGACCGGCGCTCCCGGCCGGCCGCGTGGGGGGGCAGGGCAGCGCGCCGCACCGAGCGCCCCCGCCCGCCCGAGAGTGCCCAGCCCCGGTGCCCGGGCCGCTCCTCCGGGGCCAGCGGGGCATGCACGGCGGGGTCGGGGCGCACCGGCCCCGGAGGGGCGCCGCGGGATCGGAGCGGGGGGCGGGGGGCCAGCAGCTCGCGGCGCCAAGCAGGGACCGCCCAGAGGCGTGGGTGGCGCCCGCCCCGCCTCCGCGCCGGTGTCCGCGCTGTGCCCTCCCGGCTCGCAGGTACTCACCGCCCGGCGAAGCCGGCCCGGGCGGCGGCCGCCCGTCCACATGGCCCCGGGGCAGCCGCGCTGCTCGCCGCCGCCGCCGCCGCGCTCGGGTCCCGCCGCCGCTGCCCTCTCCCCTCCGAGGGGCGGCGCGCCGGGCACCGCGGCGGCCGACGCCGCCGCCGCCGCGCTCGGGCTCCAGCTCCGCGCACTCCCTCCGTGGCCGCCGAGCCGAGCGGACGCCCCCGGGGCCGCGCCGCAGCCCTGCGCGCTCCCCCTATCATGCCCCGGGCCCGGGCCGGGGCCGCCCAAGCAGCCAGGACACCATGCCCGAGGGCGGCGGTGGCGACGGCGGAGAGGTGCCTGCGCTCGTCCCGGACAGCGAGCTGCGGGAGGAGGTACCGGCGCCGTGCGGTGGGGCCGGACCCAGGCCTGGGCGGCGTGAGGGGGACGAAGGAGGGGAGACCCCCGGGAGAGGGGCTGAGGGGCGAAGTCCCGGAGCCACTGAGGCCAGCGACGTCATTGGGGTGGCCTGCGTCCCGCCGGGGGTCCCGGGGGCCTAGGGGCCCGCGTGGGGATAGGGGTGGGGCGGCTGGGCAGGAATGTGGGGGGCGACTTCCGCCCGCGGCGCCCCCTTATCCGGCCTCGCCCGCCCTATGACGTCAGCGCCCGGCCCCCAGGCGACCCCGTTCCGCAGCGCTGCGGGGATGCTGCCCCCACCCCCAGGGCCGCGGGGTCAGGCCCCCGGCCCGGCCCAGCCGCTCACGAGGTGCCCGGGTGGTGCCTGCAATGCAGCAGCTGTAGCAGGGCCTGGGGGGAGGAGGGGCAAGAGGAAGGGAGGCGGCCTTCCGTGCCCCTTCTCCTCCCCCTCGAGTGAGGGGTGAGGGCCCACTCTGCTGCCGGGACGCCCCCAGAACGGCCCCTCCTCAGCCCCAGCC